GGGTAAATATAGTGTCCTGCAAAGGCAAAATGCTGTCATACTGAGGTGGAAACAATACCCTTAATTTATAAATAAATATATATAGGGCATATATGATATATGTATGTAAATAACGTCTAAAATATTTAACATTAACTTTAATAATTACAATACCCATTTTGATATCTTAATTCATCTAAAAAATAAAAACGGACCCAGAGGACTTTTATTTTGAAATTAACTATAACCTTTATGAGTTACATTAAAGCATTTAGGTTATAAATATGTGCAGCTGTTACAAGATGGGTTTGGGCCATCGGTCGTTGGCTGAATATATATGATTAGTGGCTTTTTCATCTTATAATAAAGTTAACATAATATGTGCAGCTGTTACAAGATGGGTTTGGGCCATCGGTCGTTGGCTGAATATATATTAGTGGCTTTTTCATCTTATAATAAAGTTAACAAATTTAACAAAGATAAACAACAGCAGCCACCTGTGCCCTCTATAAGTAGGTGGGATCAGTCAAGAAGCTCTGGAAAGTAGTCCTGAGTTCTCGCGATGCGAGATTTGCGAAGCCAGACTGCGAGACCGACACGATTCCATCCAGTAATAAGAGTACCGATAAAATTCAGAAATGTCTGGTCGCTCGGTCCGCGCGGAGACCCGAAGCCGCGCTAAAGATGACATTAAGAAAGTGATGGTGGCCATCGAGAGAGTACGGAGATGGTGAGTATGACGGGCGGCGTCACGATACTTTCAAAGAGAGAAATGTTTTTCAAAAGAGAAACTTCAGTCGGAAAGGAGGAGGAGTTTAATAAGAGGATGCCGTTTGATTGACACAAGAGACAGCCAATGGCTGCGCACTTGTCTTTGTTTTCTCAAGGGACAAGTGGCAAAACGAGGCGGGACTAGAGAGGACTTTTAAAAGGTTTCTTTATGTTTTGAAGAGGCGTAGTGTGTAGGACTGTCAGTAACCTTAAATAAATTACATAATTTTTCTTTTTTTTTTACTAATTTATAAAGTCTATTATACATGAAAGGAGGAGGAGTTTAATAAGAGGATGCCGTTTGATTGACACAAGAGACAGCCAATGGCTGCGCACTTGTCTTTGTTTTCTCAAGGGACAAGTGGCAAAACGAGGCGGGACTAGAGAGGACTTTTAAAAGGTTTCTTCATGTTTTGAAGAGGCGTAGTGTGTAGGACTGTCAGTAACCTTAAATAAATTACATAATTTTTCTTTTTTTTTGTGCTAATTTATAAAGTCTATTATACATCTACTGTGCAAGAAAGTAATCCAAGCACATTCAATCAGGGTTTAGGCCAGCAAAAACCTAGCACTTTTGTGATTGAAATAAATGGGGATATTGGATAGGGTTCAACACATCAACAAATGGACTTCGTAATCCCACATGTCCCGAAAAAGCAGCTCTTAGAGGAGCCTTTAAACTTTCTCCATCTGGAAACTTGATAAGTGCTTTTTTTCTGCATGGTTGCGTTTTTAACATGGAAACTTGATAGAGCTTTCAAGTCATGGACATTCTAATTTATTGAGATGCACCTGTATATGGGAAACCTGTTACACAATTGCTCTATTTCAGGGAGAAGAAATGGGTCACAGTTGGAGATACATCATTAAGAATATTTAAATGGGTTCCTGTGGTGGACACAAAGGAGGTACGACACATCTAACATGTTAATTTCTCTTGGTTTTAATTGTTTGAGAGTTCGTTTTATACATAAGATCAACATATTACCTGTAAAGTAATGGATTTTCCAAATTCCTTCACTGTATTTACTGCACCTGTAACCTGATATCTTTTAGAAGGACAAGAGCAAAGTGTCTGTGGGTGGTGAGATGCAACGGAAGAATTTTTCCACTGAGGAGGCATCTGATAACGCCTGTTCTGTAATGTTAGATTTTCAAGGTAAACATTTGCATGTGAGATTCAAGTTTCAAAGACATAGTTTACCCAAAAATTAATATTTTACCATATTCAGCTTCTTGTGGTTTCAAACCCGTATTGTTTTCTTTCTTTCTCTCCTGGCTTTTCAGATGAGAACAGCAACCAGAGTTCTCTGTCAGACTCGTACCAGCTTAAAGTAGCTGCAGACAGCAGCAATAACTCCAGTCCACAGCCCAGTGAGCCGGTCAGCCCTGCACTTCAGAGTCTAGACTACCGTACAGATGATCCACAGCCGCCCACCCTCGGCCAAGAAATCATGGAAGGTGAGACTCATACCTTGCATTTCTCATTGAGTTTAATGTTAATCTCAGAGCTGAGAGATACATTCATTAATTAATTTATTATATTATATTACATTACATTATATTATACATTTCCAAAGGTATATCCAGTGTTTTATAAAGCTTGTAATTTTATAAATCTTGCTTAAATATTTAGTCATATTAACCTGAGATTTCACAGTAAGTTGTTTGCCCTCTTTGTGTCATTGTGATTTTGATCTGAACAAATGAATTATGTTTTTATCTCCAAAACTACACATTTCACAGGAGTTCACTGAGATCATTTAGTCCGTTGACCCACTTTTAAAAATGATAACTTTTTTTTTATAGAGCCGCTGCTGCAGTCAAGTGAGATTGCAGATGAGCCGCCAACACTGATCAAGGAAGATCTTTTACCCCTCACTGCTCAGGTACAAAACCGTACAAAAGTAGTCAGAGGTTCTGCATAAAGCATGAATGCTGGGACAGCCCCTCTGCCTTGGGTTGTGAACCTTGCTTGCCTTCAAATTCATATATATTTTTTTGGGTATACTGTATATGAGAAAATAAAAAAAATACATAAATATCTATATATAATATTTAATTTATATATATAATGAATGTTTAAAAAAAAAAATGTAAACAATATTTGTCATTTATTCTACTAGATTTATTTTATATTATATATATTTTTAGATTGTTTATATTAAGCCTTTTTTACTACTGAAATTAATAATTAATTGCTCCTTTTTCTCTGGGTACAGGAGGATGAGGACAGCTGTGGAGCCCCACCACTGAAAAGAATCTGTACCGAGCAGGTCTCGGTCATTCAGGCAGCCCCTCTTAGCTAACATACACACACACACAATCACACACACTGTACACTGGGCATTGATAATCAGCCAGACTGATCACTGGCCTTCCTAGAACTGCTGCAAAAGACACAATATGGACCAGACATCGAAAAAGCACTATATTTATTATCGCATGGGATCGCTTTGCAACATTTTAGATTTACAAATCTTTGCTTTCCCTTTGTATCTCCTAGAATATGCTTCCATTCAGGTCATGTCAGGATTATCGTTCATTTTTGAAGATCTCATAGTAGAATCTCTGAATTGTTATCTCTTACACTAATTCTGACATAACATGAATGAAGCATTGATTCAACGTTTATAGGCAAAAACCAAAAAAAAAGGCCAGACTATTAACTAGACATTCCTGTTTACAGGGAGAATGAATGAATGTACTATCACTATAAAGCCCTTCTTGTTGAAATTGCTGTTACAGTTATTATAATGCTAATAGTTAATATTTTAATATTTTATCTTCAGTTGAATGTGATGCTTGTTAAAAAAAAGAAAGCCATAATTTAATTTCATGTTGACTGAAGGCTTAGCCATTGTTGAAGAAAATGTCCTCCAAAACCATGACAAAAAGCAAGTTAAATGACAAGGGTACTTGAAATGCAATTTAATACATCACGCTTTATGCACAAGTAATCTCATTAGACCACACCATTCCCTTTTAATAAAAACAACTACTCAACATGCAGAATGTCTTCAATCAAATTCTGTAAATTTACATGCAGATTGAAATTAAGTCTTTAAGTCATGTTTCAAAAGATGTGAATAATATCTAGATTTTCTGTTTGTAGATTCTGCTCTCAGGGTCTGTAGTGCCTCCAACTGTCTATCAGCTCTCATTTGTTGCAGTAATTGAACATTTACTTTTTTGTCTCTGTAGTACACCCCTAAAAACGCCTGTCACTTATGCCACCTTTTATTTTTTGCACACTGGTCTAGTGGGCACTTTGAGTTCAATGAAGCAGTCATATTGTTATTTGATGCAAATATCATAAAAAATTTTAGACCTTTCAAGATTCATATTCAAGATGTATTTTTGTCTTTATTCTTTAAAAATAATAACAATGTACATTACAGTTCAAAAGTTTGGGGATAGTTTTTTTTTTTTTTTTTTGCTAAATAAATTTATTTATTTATTTATTCAGCAAGGGTGCATTAAAATCGGTGAAAAGAGACAGTAAACACATTTACAATGTTACAAAATATTTCTATTTCAAATAAATGCTGTTCTTTTGAACTTTCTATTAATCAAAGAATCGTGGGGAAAAATGGTTTCTTCAAAAATATTAAGCAGCACAACCTTGATATAATAAGAAATGTTTTTTGAGCAACAAATCAGCATATTAGAATGAGTTCTGACGGATCACGTGACACTGAAGACTGCAATAATGTCTGCAGAACATTCAGCTTTACATCACATCAAATTGCTTTTTCAAATATTTTTAAATAGAATACAGTTGTTTTAAATTGTAATAATATTTCAAAATATTATTATGTGTTCTGTATTCAAAAACACGGAAAAATCTTACAAACCCCAAACTTTTGATTGGTAGCGTATATTAAAAATATATATTTTAAGTTTTGTATGGGGCTTCAATACAAAACTTGTCGTTTTACCAAACGTTTGACCTGCATGTGGTGCTGAAGCCCCATTTTTCATAAAATATATATATTATTATTAATATGTTACGTATTGTACGTTTGGAACATCTGAGATATTTACTTAATACATATTATAACTCCCTGTACTTGTTTTGGCATATAGATTATACAGTACCTTAATACTACCTAGACCGCGTTTTGGATGTCAAACACGCCTGCAGCATTTTTGGCAATGCTGACTGTGATGTAGTAGGTACTAGATAGTCAGTCAGATAGGTTATGAGACACAGCCAGTGTTTTACTCCAGAAGAGGGAATTGTATTTTACTCTAGTCAGTGACTGTCTCTCCTCACCCGTCATTCAAGTCTTTCAATAACTCACTCAGGCGTTTAACACAACTCGTCTGAGCAGGATAAGATCAGATAAAGCACAGGGAATAAGGGAAGAGCTGTTAGACGTCGGACCATGCGTGAGGGATTTTGGAAACTTCTTTGTATTTTCATGTTTTCCTTTCGTGCTTTTAAAGCTTCCGCAGCTATTTATCAGGTTCCAGTGAGACTGCAGCGCACAGTGTCGGAACACAACACTGGAGCAAACACACTCAACAGGTAAACCTGTCACCGGCTGGAATAAACATTAGGTTATCGAACTGATTGATTTAAAGCCTTAGGCTATTATACTGCAGAATTATGGATTAAGGTAAATGAACTCAATAAACTTTGAATAGTTAAACAATTCTATTATTATCTTAACCCAACACCATTTTTATTTCTAGATATTTTATTCACAACTGTTTCTGTGACTTGCAACATTTCTATCTATCTATCTGTCTATCTATCTATCTATCTATGTGTCTGTCTGTCTGTCCTAAACACATCTGTGAAGGCCCCTGTGGGCCCCCTAATTAAGTTCCCAGAAAAGGCATAAACTGAAACAAAGCCAAAATTATTTATGTTAAAAATGAAAAATGTTCTTTTTCTAAAAGACAGTGGGCAAAATATTTTATGGTTTTACATGCGGTTGAGGTTGAGCTCTTTAGTCTAGACGTGTGGAGCTTCTTGTGTGTCTGTGGTCTGGTCACAATTCATCACAGTCTGTCCCGTGAAAAAATTATGGTCAGTGACTTGAATAATGAAACAAACAGTGCCGGGTCACAATCCTGGGATGTTTTGAATCATTTGAGATGTATCAGAAGGGCAGTTTCCCAGATTGAGTTTAGAAACAAAGCATGCAGATGCAGGCACACATTGTTTTTTTGTTTTAGTTCTCTTCAAGAATGTCTGTCAGACTCTTTTGGGTGTTATATGAATGTCGGGAGAGAATAAATCATTCAGTCTCCCGTGGTAAAGGAAAAAAGATATGCTTGTGCCACTGAGAGGGTCTCTCAGAGGACCCTCAGTCCACTGTACTGCATTTTATCTTGCTTTTGAAGTGAAGGAGATTCATGTAGAAACATAATGGCACTAAAACTATTGAAGCCACATAACTGTTTGCTTTGCAGTGCCATCAATCTGAGTTTTGTGAAAATAAAATTTCAAGCTCTCTACCTAAATCTCTTATTTTCCATGATTTAATTTCCTTATTTTCTGATATGTAAATAAATTTGCACATTCATTTCTCCATGGATTTTTTTTTTCTGTTTAATTCTTGATTTTACAGTATTCTGATTTGTCTGTTCTTTGTCATTATCGTTGTTTATTCAACATGGAACGAATAAGGAACTGGTGCCAGTACACATTACAGAAGACCGTTTCATGCCAGACGCAAAATGGGACAGAGACTGTTGTGCAGCGGCTGTTTCAGAGTTGCCGATGGCCTGGACCATGTCCAAACCTCATCAGGTACAGAGAAAAGAAATGATCTCATGGTATACACTGGGTTATACTCTGCTATTCACTCTCACATTAACTTGGACGACAAGTAAAAGACTCTGTGCGTGCTTTGCCTCTCTGTATTTTCCCAGCTACAGAACTCTGGTGAGACCCGTGTACAGAGTGACCTACAGGAAAATCACTTCTCTGGAATGGCGATGCTGTCCAGGATTCCATGGAGAAGACTGCAGAGAGGGTGAGGGAGCTCATTTTTTGCTGATTTCAAGTTCACTGAAGCATTACTGAATCAATTGAATGGATGTAAGACAAAGGAATTGTTATGTGTTGTGAGCCAATTACATAGACATTTCTTAGTGGTGTTTGCTAAGACAAGCAAAACATAGCACAACTAGCCTATAATAGAGATTTTATGGTTGGCCTGGCAACCACGCTGAAAACCCAGGCATAGGGATATTGTGGTTGGCCTCTTTCAGCAACCACATAAAAACCACTTAGAGCAAACACTTAGCAATGCCTTAGCAACCACCCGGAACACCCAAACATACGCGGCATCCAAAATCAAATACTTTCCTACTATATAGTATGTGAAAAACAGTACGCAAACAGAGTAGTATGTCTGAATTCATAGTATTCGAAAAACAGTACCCGGATGACCTACTACTTCCGGTGGGATTCTGAAGTGCGCATTCGATGGACGCTTAACTATCCCATGAGGCCACGGGAGAGGATTGATGAGTGTCAGTGAAGTGGCACAACTGATGCTGGTAGGTCACATGACAGTAGCAATATGGCAGATGCAGTACGTCTGAGTTTCATTCATTCTACCCATTATAGAGCATACTTATTTAACGGTCGCAAAGTAGGTTCTAATTCATATGTAGTACATACACAGACAGTACCCGATTTTGGAAAATTACCGATAGTGATTTTGTGGTTGGCCTCTATTGGCTTGTGTAAGCAAGCAATCACGTAGAAACCACTCAGGACACCCTAACAACTGCATAGCAATACCCTAATCTTATCTTGCTAGAGGGAGCGCCTCACGTGATCTCACACAGCAGATCGTCATTGACGTTTCAGCAATGTTTACATATGTTAGCTAGCATGCTAGCAACTTTCTACACTCTTTGTCCTTACGGTTGTGGTAAGTTTTCAACACATTATCCATTATCCATCTCCACTATCCAACAGACCTGTAAAGCAGCTTGTTTCGCGTATTGACTATTGTGAAAGTACTGATGTAATCAAAGCCTTCATCATCCTGATTTAAAATCCTAAATATCAAACATGTTTGATATTAATGGGGGTGACCCCAATTTGTGTGCGAGCAGATTGAAAGGTGCAAGATTCGATCTGTAAATGCCTCACATTACCAGATAAACCGCACCGAACATCAGAACTGATCGAGGTCCTCAAAAAGATTTTTTTCTCCGATTCTCGGGAGGGGAAAATCGGGGCTAAATCGGCCTAAAACTCCTGTTGGGTGTGCCTGGCTTAAGACAAGCAAAACATACCAAGATTATCATAGAGATTTCGTGGTTGGCCTCTTTTGATTTGTGTAAACAAACAAACACACAGAAACCACCCAGAACACCCTAGCAAATACCTGGAACACCCTAACAACCACATAGCAACGTCCTGGGAACCACGTAGAACACCCAGGCATTGATATTTCATGGTTGGCCTCTTTTGATTTGTGTAAGCCAGCAACCATATAAAAACCACCCAGAATACCCTAGCAACCACTCAGAACACCCTAGCAACCGCATAACAATGCCCTAGCAACCACCCAGAACACCCTAACAGCTGCATAGCAATACTCTGGCAACCACCCAGAACATCCAGGCATAGGGATTTTGTGGTTGGCCTCCTTTGACTTGTGTAAGCCAGCAACCATATAAAAGCCACCCAGAATACCCTAGCAACGACTAAGAACACCTTAGCAACTGCTTAGCAATGCCCTGGCAGCCGCCCAGAACACCCAGGCATAGATATTTCATGGTTGGCCTCTTTTGATTTGTGTAAGCAAGCAACTACATAGATACCACTCAGAACACTAGCAACCACCCTGAACACCCTAGCAACTGCACAGCAATGCCCTGGCAACCACGCAGAATACCCAAGCATCTAGCAAGAGATTTGCATGAGCAAACACCACTCACATTTGACTTGGCATGGTTTGGTGGGTGGTTCTTTTTTAAATTTAAGTCTCTTAGCAACAACAAAAAAAGATCCCTTACATTCATTGTGTGGGTGAGAATGTGAGTGACAACAGCTCATCTGACTGTGGAAATCAAGCATCTGGGTGAAATCCCAAAATGAATGAGTCATAACTATATGCCAGTCTGAATGTATTTCCTTTCTTACTATATGAACACCAAACACTTTAGTGCAAAACATCCATAAACATGTTTCTATATTAACCAGGAGAAAATGCATTAGGACTATGTTACAAAACATGCTCAGATTTGCCATGACACAAAAATCTGCAATCGAAAGTCTTAGATCTGAATATGAATATTATCACGCCATGTCATATGAGCACAGTTACACTCCCTACTGACTCACTTTACTGTTATCCTAGAGAGATAATCATAATCAAAACCAGCACAGCTCTGGGTCTTTGCATATATTGGGTAAATAAATTTTAATTGACACTGAAATAAATAGCTAGAAGAAAATATTTGAGGAAATATTTGAGGAAATGAGTCAGTGCTTTTGATTCATTTTGATTCATTTGACAGTACAGTTAGATGTGGTAGAGGTCACAAGAGTCCAAATAATTTCTGATCCAATAGGGATAATTTATCTATGACACACATTCTCATGTTTTTCTGGATGGGAATGGTTTAATGTCAAACAGCTCAAGTTAGGTCAAAGTCTGTGTGAGATCCCAGCATTTCTAGTTGTCATGTGTAATGAGGCCTAACAAAGAATGTTGTGTCTGATTTCACTCATTATGGACACTTTTTATAGTCCCGGGTTTGGAACATGGAAGTAAACATTAGCAGGCTAAACTTGTACTTGTACTTGGTAGATGGAAGATAACAGCGAATATTATTTTAGCATATCCAGTTTGCTCCAACAGCAGCTGTATTATTTTAATACAAGGGTAAAATAACACAAAGTGTTATAAAAACAAGAAAACACTACACGTCAACTACCAGTTAGTGTTAGTAGACTGTCTACTTAATATCTGCTAACACTTTATTTTGATAATAATAATCTGAATATAATAATCAGATTATAAGTAACTTTGCAAGTACGTCAACTCATTCTACTAACCCTAACCCTAATGTAACAGTCTACTATTACTCTAATGAGAGTTATTTGACATGTAGTTGCAAAACATTACTTATAGTTAGTAGAATGTCTAAAGTGTGCTATCGAAATAAAGTGTAACCAATATGACAAACTTTGAAGGTTTCAAAGGGTTGATTCGCATAGAATGCGTTTTTGTGTTTAACAATGCAAGATGCAGGGAAGGAATGCAATGGGAAATGTGGAATGGGGAAAAAACGCAAAAGTTAAACTTTTTTTTTTTTTGACTAAGAATGAGTAGACGTCAAGGAATGCACTGGTGCAAAGCTGTTGAGGTGTGGGTGGGTGGTTGCAGCTGGGATCGACAATTGTAAGAGATCCTTTGTCCCATAACCATATTCCAATTGTCAAAAGAGAGGAACTCCCAGAGATAGCATTCAACAAATCAAAAATCATCAACAATATAATATAAGACTTGGTTATGCTTTTGGATTCGATGTAGAATTTCAATTGATTTCTCATAACCCATGGGGTTTTCAAGCTTTTTGTGATAACACGCTATCGTTTAAATGTTTCTTGAGAGGCAAATCAGCATATTAGAATGATTTCTGAAGGATCATGTGACAATGAATACTGATGAGTAATGAGGGCTGAAAAATTCAGCTTTCCATCACAGGAATAAATAAAATTTTAAAGTACATTGAAATAGACAACAGCTATTTTAAATTGTGATAATATTTCATAATATTACTGTTTTTTTTGTTGTTGTTTTTTCAAATAAATGAAGCCTTGGTGTGCATGAGACTTCAGAAACATTATAGACTTAAGAATAGACATTAAACATTAAAATCTTACCGACCTCAAAGCTGAACAGTTGTTTAAATTGTGATAATATTTTCATAATATTACTGTTTTTTTTGTTGTTGTTTTTTCAAATAAATGAAGCCTTGGTGTGCATGAGACTTCAGAAACATTATAGACTTAAGAATAGACATTAAACATTAAAATCTTACCGACCTCAAAGCTGAACAGTTGTGTAGAAATACTTGTTGTTTCTGAAAACTGACTAACTAATGAACTACTGAAAATATGTAATTATTATCTGGAAAGGTTTTACTTATTTGCATAATACAGCATAATACAGTGTATCTTTTTTCCACTATTAGAGTGATGACAGAGAAGCAGAGAAGAAACATTTTCAGTTCAGTTCAGATGTATTTGTAAAGCGCATTTATCAATTCAAATGATTACTCTAACGTCTCACGTTTTACATTCCAGCTATGAACTCTTACCCTCTGGGAGAAGGTACAGGATCCCACGCTGCAAATTGAACAGATTCAAAAATTTGTTTGTGCCGGTATCTATCAGGTCGCTGAATCTGGAGCAGTGAGTGAAGCAGTTTTAGTTTTTATCTGATATCTGTGATGGTGTATATGGATGTGAATGTCTATTGTGTATGCACAGTATTTTTAAATATTCTTAGGTGTACCAGGTGATGTTGGAATGTTGGTTTTGAGTCTACTCCAAATTTCACCTACCAGGGACAATAAAGTATATTTCATATTCACATTTCATTTTAAGTAAACATGTTAATTTTAACAGATCAAAAAATAAATTTTGTAAAATGTTTTGTGTCGCCTTAAAATTGTTTTTACCATTTGGTGCAGCTCTACTTTTTTTACTTAATTAGTCATCATGGCGCAGATAACGGTGGTTTGGGGAGTTATATCCCTAAAAGGAAATCTAAACAAAAAGTTGTGGATCCTGAAAAGTACACTCACAAACTAATTAATTTTACAGTAATACATAATATCATGGCTCCCTTGGGGTTCCTGGATCCCAACCACTAAACCCTGAAGACATTAGTCATTCATGGGAACAATTCCCATCAGCAGAATTACTTGGGTACTCGAACTTCCCATAATGCCCTGGTCAGAGTCTTATCCATATCTATATAGTCAGCTCCAACTGTCTTTCTTACAACCCCATACCAGGTTGCCAGAAGGCCTGGCAGAGGTTCAAATATATCACCTGCTCTACAAATTCCTTTAAATTGAGATTGTGATCAGTACCCCTAGCTGTGAGAGTGGCTGTGGGAAAATGGGATGTCTGTGGTGTGGTATCTGTGTGTGCTGCAGCCCCCTCAGCTGCCTGTAACGGGTGAGATCATCTCATTTCTGTGGTGGAGCACAGATGGTCATGCCATTGAAGTCTACCTGTTCGTTAGGATAGCTTGTACGACAGTGAACCCAAAATTGTATTTAACCCATGATGAATATAAGCAATTAGCAAATTATTTCAAGTCATTTTTAGGGCACAATCTGCTAATTCAGCTAATTCAGACTGCACAGACAGACGCCAACAAACACATTCATTGGATTTTGTCAGATCAGTGTGTTATCCCTGTCAGCGTCTGCTGGCATCAGCCAGTGCTTGTTTTTGCTGACTGAACATGTTCATTCGGTGTTTGGCGGGATGTGCAGTGTCTAAGAAATGACATACTGTAATCTGGTGATTAGCAGTGAGAATTAACCTGTTTGGCAAACTACCGAAAACAACTTTGTTTTGGCATGATTTTGTTCAAAATGACGTCACACCAGTTCTTTCTTCGATTTCACTTGAATTATATCATGGCCTTTATGATTTAACAACTTTTCAGACCAAGAAACACATCTGATCCAGCTGGACTGTCCAACTACCACCTAGTCACCAACTTGCTTGTTTGGTTCCCGTACTGCCAGTGTAAGAACATACGCTCTTAGAAAGAAAGGTACAAAAGCTGTCACTGGGACGTTAGTCTTTCAAAGGATACATCTGTGTACCGTATTTACCCCTAAAGTTAGCATTTTAGTACCTTAAGGCTGATGATACACGGGGCAACTTTTTGAGCAATTTTGCTTGGGCACTTTCCCATTGAGGATGGGTAACGCATTTCTATCTGGATACTTTAGATCGGTTGTGGGCCCTGTGTCTCACCTGGTTGCCCGTTGACGGCAACATTGCTCAAAAAGTTGCCCCGTGTATCATCAGCCTAAAGGTACATATTTACCTAAAGTGTATATATTAGTACCTTTTGAAAAGGTGCCGCCTCAGTAACAGCTTTTGTACCTTTTTTACTGAGAGTGTAGGCTATGCATAATAGTCTAAAAACAGTATCACAAATGTAAATAGATCAGAAACACGAACATCACCATTTAAACAAATGCAAGGCAGCACAGCTGTAAGGTATGGTAGGATACTTGCAGCTGGGATCAACAGCTGTAACAGATCCGCAATGGTATTCCAACTGTCAATAGAGAGCAACTCCCAGTGATATTATGGTTCATATGAAATGCCCACAAGAATCCAATTTTAATTATTTTGGTTTTTTAAAGTAACACCTGGGGGCTCTAGTTTATTAGAGGTTAGGTCCTTCACAAACCAAATTAGCGAATGGAGACTTACGTGAAAGTGCATTGAAATTAGATTTGTTTAGTCTGCTTATATATGCTTTAGAGGGATAAACTTCCCAGCCAATGAATCCCAAAGTGGAAAGGCATGCAGTTACCAGTCTTCCTGCAATGCATGTGCCCAAAGTATTTGTTTGAGGGCAGATACAGAGACTGAAGTTCATTACTATTAAATCGATATGAATTCAGCATAGAAGCAAAGGTTGATGATGTAGATCTTTAGATCTGGCAATACAGATAATTCTAATTCTATCTGAAACTTTCATTGCTTCGCAGTTTACCAATAAACCACTTTTATAAACTAAATTCACCCTGAAGAACATGCTAAAGTTTCTTGTGTCTTCATAATCTATGAAAGCCCCATCAGTCTCTGCCAAAATGCTGTTAATGGGTGTGGAGTCTTAATGTGGTCAGCTTGCATGTATGATTTGTGTATTTGTACTTCTCCTAAGACACAAGTCGCACTCTGGTTTGGTACATCAATACATCACTGATGTCTGCGCTGGCACGTGTTTGCATAACTTTATTAACCATGTCAGTTTTTATAAAACCGTTGTGCTAGTTCCAAAAATGGGCAGTTTAAAGCCTCCCTCACATCTGCGAAAAGCATAGAGGTTCAGTATCTGCAGATCCCATTGTGCTGTGCTTCTTTACAGCTCATCCGTTGGGTGTTTTTCCAGAATACCCCAATGTTCGGCTGTCCACTGATCTGAGAGCTGGCCAGTGCACATGGAGAACAGGCATGTCAGACAGCTGGACATTTCATTCTGTAAACGTCAACAACGGTTTAACTTGCACACAGCCTTCTATCACACATCACCCAGTGCCATGGAGTCTCTACAAAATAAATATTATAAAATTAGTGTTTTTCTGAGCAATACAGATATAGAGTGAATGACATCCTTTGGGTTTACCATCATGGGTGTTTCCTCCAAGAGCAGAAGTGCAGTTAGCACAGTCCTTATGTCTTTCCACCCAGAAAAACAGAGACATGTTAACTTTTCGATTCTGTTGGATGTGCATATTGTGGTGAAGAGTGACAAATTTGTTCCTTTGCACTTTATGGAATGAGCTAATGTCCCTTCATGAGGTCTGGCATCCAGACTGTCCTTTGATGACACTGTGACATGCTTGTGGTCTTGAGTCTTGTATTGCAGTCAATTGAGAGCAGATGATGAAGCTTGTAGTTGTAAACGTCTCATTGGAAGAAACTAGAATTGCAGTGTTGGAGAGTAGATAACTAAAAGCAGTGACACCACTAACTTTGGTCCATTAACTACCCAAATTGTCCAGTAGTTTAGCTGTTTTCAAAATAGTGAAAGGTGGATTTATTTTAGTGAATGGCTTCTTTTGAATATACATGAACAAGTCAAAAAACAAGTCCTGCACTGTGTTTCAGGTCTTTTATGTCTTTCAGAATGTAATCTTCTGTTCCTGTGTTTTCAACCCACTCCTATAAATTAAGGATTTTCTTTTTAGTAAATTAGTTTGTTTTAAGCTGTGTTTAGTTCCTGATTAAATCAAGTCCTGTTCTACATTTTATCACATTAAAATATATTTTTTTAAAGAACAATTTTAATGCTCATCAAGGCTGCATTTATTTGATAATACGGTAAATGTTGTGAAAACAACAGTATACTGTGAAATACTATTACAATTTCAAATAACTGTTTTCTATTTTAATATATTTTCAAATGTAATTTACTCTTGTAATGGCAAAGATGAATTATCAGCAGTCATTACTCCAGCGTTCAGTGTCACATGATCCTTCAAAAATCTTCATCCTTCAAATATGCTGATTTGCTGTTCAAGAAACATTTCTTATTATTATCAATGTTGAAAAAAGTTGTGCTGCTTAATATTTTTGTGGAAATCGTGATACATTGTTTTCTGGATTCTTTAATGAATAAAAAGTTCAAAGAAACATTATGAATGCTTTACTGTCACTTTTGACCAATTTAAACTGTCCTTGCTGAATAAGTTTTTTTCTTTAATCTTACAGAATCCAAACCTTTGAATTGTAGCATACATCAAATTATGTGCAAAATAGGAATGGCAATTCATCTTTACATTAAAGTAGAACAGTTTTAGTCATTGCATCTCAAACACTTTTTATTTTGTGAATTTTGTTCTAAAATTTAATTTCTGATCTCATCATATGGTGATATTTAATTTCTAATCTCATCATTAGGTAAAAAATGGCTGTATTGCATTTCACATATAAAATGTCACCACTGAGAGATCACCTGCCATTCATCATCATCTCATTTCATGCCAAATAATTCCCAAATCTATGCAGTCTTGGAAGATCGGTCTTCTTCCATAGAGAGATCCAGCACTTTGTGGTTGTCCTCACCCTGACAAGCCCTATGCTGTGTGAAGAGAATCTCTCTTAAATGAGAAAGGTGAATGTTGGGGAAACCCAGAGTGAGATATTTCCCTTCACTAGGATTCCATGCAAATGGAAATTCATGGCTTGCCAGCATCTGGTTTTCCTGTTCCTTATTCTACCCTAGGGAGGGATGTTAACCAAAGATGTAATTGAACTCATTTAGTGTCTCTTCTAACAAATTCTTGTTGTTCATACAACTGTTATACAGTTATTTTGGTTTCACACTGAGGTTTTGGGATTGATTTCATTTTTGGACTTCAGGCCTGCGACACTGAAATGATCCTTGGAATTTTAAGTACAGTATGAAGTTAACTCGTGAGAACATCACAAACTTAATTCAGATCAGTTCTGTTGACCACTTTGTCTAGTATACAGTTATAATATTGCAAAAAACATTCATTAGATTGAACAAGCATAGAGGTAAGAACTATCTCTTTACCTTGACTGGGAATATTAAAACAAATATTTTCATACATTGAGCTCCACTGCTTACTCTACAGGACCTCAAGGGTTGCAAGGACCACAAGGTGAAAGAGGCCTTCCTGGGCCACCTGGGCCCCCAGGGCACTTCTCCATCAGGGGAGATGTTTTCACTCTAACGGCTAAACAACATGCCCAGTGTGAGTACAACAGTCCACATTAAACATGCTGTTTTATCATTTTAATTAATAATGGCGTTAAATTAATGCATAACTGAGTGGAAGTAAAAAAAATAAAAATATTAAATACTTCAGTTAATGTTTATATCCAGTCTTTGCACAAACTGCAGCAACCTTTCGCATGTTATTCTCAACATGACCGTAAGATGGCAGCATTGGCACAGTATCAACTTTAAAAAAAACTCTCAGAGATCTGGATCAGTTTAAGAGTCTGGTTGGCTTCTGTCTGTCAGCAATTAATCAGAGTCATTTGTTAGCTGTCTGTGAAGCAGCATGAATCTGGATAAACCAAAGCAGAACCTGAGCACCAAATCCTGCTGAACAGAACAGCAGTACAGCTGCTCAAATCACATTTGCTGCAAGTGGAGTTACATTTTTAATAGTACATCTGATTTGTTTTCACCTCAGTATGATCATATCTTACATGTCTCAGATGAGGATAGTGACTTTGCTGCCTATCGTGACCTGCAGGCTTTTCTTGGTCCTCCTGGGCCCTTCGGCCCTCCTGGTCCACCAGGTACACTAGAATATCAGAGCATACATAACAGCATCATCTCGTACCGCACAGCCATTTCTTTACACATTTAATCTTCTATCTGTACATCTTGAACAGGGCCTGCTGGACCACCTGGACACCCAGGTGTTCCAGGGAAAAATGTAAGACATTTTATATCATTATGCTCTATGATATGCATTTACAGTATGTATGTATGGAATAAATAATTGGACAGTACATATAGATGTACAAGGCACAGTATACTGATTAATTCACATTTATCATAGGCTGCCTTTAGCTTTGCAGGCACACCAGGTGACAGGGGACCCAAAGGAGATCCAGGAGAAAGAGTTAGTCATCGAAGGCCAACATTTAGATATAAATTAAATCTTAATCTTATACATTTTGCTTTTTGGATAAAAATATGTTTGTTTTTATTTGAGCTGATTAAATTGCATTGCTCTATTTCTGATAAGCTATTACTAAATATAATGCAGAAACTTAAATTTTCTGTAAAGCTGCTTTGCAACGATTTGCATCGTCAAAAGCGCTATACAAATAAACTTGAATTGAACTGAATTGAATTTGATTTATGACTTAACAGATGGCTGAGAGATTTATAGCATTTGCTTAATCCATTCACTCAGTGCTGTATCACTTTTTATGGTTAGAAATTCCCCTTTCTCTGCTGTTATGCTTCATGTTACCTTGACATCTCTTTTTGCATTCATCCATTTAGAGTGCATGAACTGTACTGGTTATGCTGAAATCAAAGAGCGCTTGAGTGTCATTGAAGCTCAGGTAAGATAGAAATGTAGGTAACCTCTTGTATTAACCAGTCACATATAAATTAAGATGGTAACTAAGCATGTGGTTTTGCTTTTTTTTTTTAACAGATAATGTTACTCAGAGATGCTGAGGCTCCTCCTTTCCCTCTGTCCAGCCAATCACCTGAGAGAACAGCTGATAATGAGGTAGACAGGACACACCCCTCACCAATAACACCCAATGCCATTGGCCGACCAGAATCTTCTATCTGTACATCTTGAACAGGGCCTGCTGGACCACCTGGACACCCAGGTGTTCCAGGGAAAAATGTAAGACATTTTATATCATTATGCTCTATGATATGCATTTACAGTATGTATGTATGGAATAAATAATTGGACAGTACATATAGATGTACAAGGCACAGTATACTGATTAATTCACATTTATCATAGGCTGCCTTTAGCTTTGCAGGCACACCAGGTGACAGGGGACCCAAAGGAGATCCAGGAGAAAGAGTTAGTCATCGAAGGCCAACATTTAGATATAAATTAAATCTTAATCTTATACATTTTGCTTTTTGGATAAAAATATGTTTGTTTTTATTTGAGCTGATTAAATTGCATTGCTCTATTTTCAAAGGGTCCACCTGGAATAACAGGAAAGCAAGGACAGCCTGTGAGTGCACATAGTGGATTGCATTTATATTTTCACAGTTCATTCATTCATTTGTTTGTTTGTTTTAATTACCAATTACTATTTTTTTTTTAAATATAATTTTTAATAAATAAATGCATTTATTTTCTAAATTCATTTTTATATTTATATATAAATGTATTATTATAAAATTCACTTTTTTCTTATTTTCTTTTGTTGTGAATAGGGTGTTCCGGGTCCTAAAGGAAAACCGGGAGAGACTCCAGGAGATGTAAGGCTGATGCACAAAAAATTGGGATGGTTTTTTGAGTTTTGGATGTGCTGTTATGATGATTTATTGTCACTTGCTAAAGCCCCGCCTTCTTGCAGGTGCAGCAGTTGAGGGAAGCTCTGAAGATTCTGGCCGAGAGGGTTCTCATTCTAGAGCACATGCTCGGCATTCATGGTGAGAATTATGGATTAATATTAATCTAGATTTCCAGTTATGAGTTCTAACTAGAGAGCGGTTGGATTCCAGAGCGCCATTATGATCTCATGGCATAAGCTGTTGCTGCCAGAGAGGTTAGCGTGTGTAGCAATTATTTAGTTATTGAGGTTCCATGAGGTTTGAGGTTCATATTGCTTTTAAGAATACAAAATGACATCAGAGGACTAGAAATATACAGCCAACTCCTTGTATTTAGACACACACATGGTTATGCAACAAATTTTTCTTTATTTTTGTTTCTTTCCTTTCGTCGCTCTGCCCAGATACTCTGTTGGACTCCGGTTCTGGAATAGATCTCCTGGCGGACTTCATGCTAACAGGCAGTGCTAAAAATGTTGCAGCTGCCAGACCCTCCTCTCCTCTTACCTCAGACAGAGAGTAGCCGGACTCTGTTGGGTATGAAGAGTAAATATTAAATAACAAACACTTGTGACCACAAGGCCTTTATCTCCTGTCTGTTGCTTTGAAGGACAGATCCCTATTTGTTTATGAGTATGATAAGAGTGGCACTGATCTTTTCTATTTTATTTACTTGAGTATTTTGTTTAATTGTAATATTCTTCTTTTTTTACATTTTGAAATCACTATATTTACCTGTCGAAAATGTGTTTTCTTTGCCATTCATGACCCGTTTTACTTGCATTTACTTAAGGGCAGGCCTTTATTTTAGCCATTAGGAAATGATTGGATGGTGAAAAGTGGGAACTACTTCCCAGAATGGAGTCGGACCGAATGTGAGTTTGCTAAAATGATGGCTAGTTAGCTATTGGTTAGAAGTGATGTCAGCAGAAAAAAAAGTTGTTTTCGGAGTAAGAGCAAGTTATGAAAATCTGATTTTCATGTCAACTTGAAGTGTCTATGTACTGTAGTTCATTTATTTTATTATAGTAAAAGTGAGGATTTTGGACGGGCAGGTTATCTGGCTTAATTAATCAACAAAGATGATACTTGATTATACAAAAAATGTTCTTGACACTATTCACTTCTTAATGAGTTTTATGTTTCATGAATAATGATTTAATACCACAGTCATTCAAGCAGAAAATAAATGTTTTGTCAAAGACTTTACAGAAAACAAAAAAGGCCTAGTTCTTGTCATTTCCTTTTTGTTTTCTGATTGATGACCTGTAATGACCTTCATGCACATAATTATATATAGCAGTGGCTTTGTATTAAAACATTCCCATCTCAAAACTCGCAGCAAACAAAAAATAGACTAGAACAGAACCTTAAAACCAAATTCGGCCTTTTGTGTGCATAGAAAGTGCAACGTCTACCACAATAAATTGTGTTTACACCTCTGCTCACCTGTTCTTATTCATAGAGCCTATCATTGACTCGCTGAAAACCCAAAATGGCGGAACACACCAAGGGCTGCTATTAATAGGGCTGCAGTGAATAGCTGGAGAGACAAAAGGCCCTGTTGACCTTGTTCGCAGAGCACCGTTCAACACGCCAGTGTGGCTTTAAGCTTATTGTTGCGCTTGAGCTTTTGTAATCCCCTCGGGAGGGAACGAAATCTTTCCGAATCTTGGGCTTTTTCTTCTTGTTGTGTTAAGAAAGAAAAAGTGTTTAAAGGTTTCCCACGGTAATGTTTTTACGGTATTGAGATCTAAATATTTTGCTTTGACTTTTTGAAATTAAATTTTATGGGAAAAATCTTTTATTTATTTATTTGAAAAGTCTTTTATTGTTGCCAGTATCTGAGCATGTTAAAACACTTTATTGCAATAACAACTGTAACTAGACTAGATGTGTTTTTTTTAATCTCTTTATTGACAAAAGGCGGGTACAGAGCTTAAGGAGAAGACAACACACAAATGGACATGAACAAACATGGAGAAACATGGGAAATGTAGTTTTTACTCCTGTTCCTTATCCTCTCCGTGGGTGATGACGTAGCACAGGTTTTTGTAATCCAGGTTGCCAGCCACATCCAAGGGGAAGTTTGTGAACATCTGGTTTACCTAGGTAAATGTCAAAAAATTATGATTAAAATCCATTCAACAATTTCCATGTATTTTAAAATTAAATATTGCATTTTAATGATTTTAAATGATTTATTTCCAAATTAAATAATACATTAAAATTTTGAACTGACACTTGTGCCTTTGCATTTCAAAAGAAAGAAAAGTATATTACCTCAGCCTCAGTAAATTTGTCTGCCTGGGACATAAGGTGATATTTGATCCTGTGAGGGGAAACAAAAGAAATATATTAAATTCTGTGCATTTGAGACTGTTTCAAGTCAAAAGTCGCTGATGTGCTGAAACATTTTTACATTTGCATAAATCTACTTACTCTTCTCCTTTAAGGATTCCTGTGCCCTCTGGGTCGAAGATCTTAAAGGCATTGAGAATAGTCTCCTCAGGGTCTGTACCTGTCAGTCACAGAAAGGTAACATATAATTGATTATTCTGTAATATGTAATAAGTCGAATACACTCTTATACATGTCAAAACCTTAATTAACAATGACATAAGTCATTTCTGGGGGAAGTTGCATTCAAAATCCAAGCTTCTGATGCAAAACTATGTGATACATATATCAGTATGCAGTGTGTCTGATATCTGCTGGGTTCTGCAGCTATTTGCACCTCATTAGCATGATTATCATTTCAATTCTGATAAATTTGATCCTTGCCTTTGAGCTTCTCTCCAAACATGGTGAGGAAGACGGTGAAGTTAATAGGGCCGGAGGCTTCCTTTAGCATCTCATCAAGCTCATCGTTGCCAACATTGAGACGTCCTGCCCAACATGCACATACAGAGATATACATTAATACAGAATGCCACTTCCTCTGATACTTCAAATGGAGTGAGAGTTAACTGTAATGTTCAGTGCAATAAAATGGTTATGAGAGCAATTTACAAGGCCAGGGGGGAAATTACTTTTGAAGCAAAAATTACATTCAAGTCTGAAGCCACACTGAAAATATGGGTTTTTAAGATTTCATTTAAACCTGACCCCTAAAATTTCTAAATAATTTTTTTTTTTTTCTAAATCAAAATGCAAAATAAAAGCTTTTTTTTTTTCTAGTGGTCTCAGATGTTTGGACCCTGCTATATATGCATTTATCATTAGTTTGATGGAATGATGACTTTTGCATCTAAATCTGTGACAAGCATAGTGCTGTAATCTCATTTAGACTTCACAGCATTCAGTATGAGTCTAAAGAGGAGCCGCTGTAATCCTTAAAACAATACTCTTGTTAGTTCAATAGGATAAACACCTTTAAGTATCAGAGACCTTTAGTGTCTCCAGTATTTACACTGTATACAGTCATTCAGTGAGGGCTGACTCACCCAAAGCAGCAAATGTGTCCCTCAGGTCGTTTTTGTCAATAAAGCCATCTCTGTTCTGGTCCATGATGGTGAAAGCCTGGAAGAGCATTCAGATTTACAGAGGTAAGTACCAAAAATATGCTAGAATAAAATGTTTAGGTAAATGAATCCTAACCAACCTCTTTGAACTCTTGGATCTGTGACTGCTCAAACATGCTAAATACATTGGAGCTGGCAGCTTCCTTCTTCTTGGCCTTCTTTGGTGCCTGGAAATCAAGCAAAGGTGGTTCAGATGATTTTGTCCAGGCTTACACTTTTTAAATGCAATTCTGAAGCACATAAAAATATAAAATTCATGCAAAAATGGCTTGACCCTCAAAGACATTTGTGTGTTATTTAACCACTTTTTGACATCGAGAACTGTCAAAAAAGTGGCCCAATTCAAGTAAATGTAGTTGCATTTAGTCAGAAATGCTACAACTTAAACACAAATCGGAACAGACAATGATATTCACTCACTGAAAACCTTTCTGAAATTACAAAAAAAAACATTGCTCTCATGACAAAGACCAAGATACATTGAAGTGAAACTAATAAAAATGCTCTAATTTTAAAGAGACAATTAGAAATACATGCAAAATATATAAAACCATCCATGGAATATGCACTTTCTAGCATAAAATAAAACATTCTCTCGGTCTGAAGGACAACACCGTTCAGTTTCACCAGCATTTCCATGTTAAAGAGTCCAAAATCAAAGAGATGCAGGCCTACCATTGTGAAGAGCTTCTCTTTACTCTCTTCTTGGTCTCAAAAGCCTGAGGGACACTCAGACGTCGTTGGTTTCCAGCTATATATTGGCACAATTGGCTTGACGGCCCACCTGTTCTATGTTTAGACAAAGGAGGAGGAACAATACAAGAATACTTGCCATATAGAGAATCACGTACCCTGCCCTAGCACCCCTCAGTTATTGTTATGGACAGATGCTAGTTGATGTGATCAGAGTATGTGGGCTTTGCTATCTTGGGATCATTTGGAGCGTCCTAACCCCTTAAGACTCATCTACATCTAATGTGTCGTTTAAAGACAGTGTGAAGCCAACTAGCTTCTCACATCAGTGCATTTGGTCAGATGATGACGCTATGTCTCTGCTACATGGATTACTTTAATGATTTGATGCTCTTGTTATATTGGTGATCAGTAGAGACACTTTTCATTCTTACAAGAATGATTTTCACAGTCAGGAAGCTTAGAGAGCAGACAGGGCTCAGGACCAGTCTAACAAGGGTTCATCCAGTGTATAAACTTTATTTAATGAGTGCTTTTGAGGAGAATCAATCAAAATGAATCTGAGAAACTAGATGTCCCTATATGAAAAGTTAGTTTAGCAAAAGTTTAGAAAGTATGCTGAAATGGATGTAACAGTAGATAACAGAAATATAATATATGACATATATTGCCCTGTATCAAGAGTGATATTGCCATATATGTTACCTATAAGGTGATATATCATTTTCACATACGTACATTCTCTGGGTAGACGAACATAGTTAACATATATAAAATCACCATAGTAAAATAGTATGTATTAATAATATCTATGTGATGATTTTTATATGGTATTATTTGTACCAACCATAAATGTCAACAATATAAGTTCTATTTATATATGCAACTTTATTAAAACGACATATTTACAAAAAACGTTTTTGTATATATAATATACATAAACACATATTTGTATGGGATAGATTTATATGTTAACATATGAAATTGTTCCCATTTCTAATAGGTTTCATGTATGCTTCTACATCATATGACAATATATTTCATTTAATTTATGTAATTTAATTTGGTTTAAGATTATACACATTGAATTAAACATGAAATTTTGAAGTAGACTAAACTACCTTTTTCTTGATTTTCTTGTGAAACACACTTCAATAATCTTTATTTAAACTTTTTAAAAAATCATTATTTTACAGTGTATTTATTACACTCACTACAGTTGGAATTATTTTGTTTTTTTTAACTATTGATTGTATTGCATTTTGTATAGTCTGTGTGAGACTGGGGCTAGTTGTCAGACTCGGGTGAATGTTTCTCAGTTTTATAAAAAAAAAAAAAAAAATTTAAATGTTTCTATATATGTATAAATATTTTAATTTATGAACCATTAATGCCCAGGAATAAAGATACATTCAAATATCAACATTGGCTACCAGAAATCACTTACTCTGCCTTTAAACACATGCTGACCTTTTGTGACAACATGCCCCAGTGGTGGAGTACTATATTGTCACACTATATAGTAAGCTGTCACAGTGGGAAACTGCCATTAAATGGCTAATTGATTATTGCATTATTACAATTACATATTTTCATATAATTTATAATAAAAAAAATAGATTTATAAAATAAAAATAGATTTAGATATAGGCAACACCCAAACATTTCTTGTGGATTTTTCTCTCAAAACCTTTATTTATGAAGAACTTTTGTGTATTCTGATTGTGATTGATCTGTATGCATAGGGCAAAATGAATGCACATTATTAGAGCACACACATGTGGAACTCATCCATTTTAATCCAGTCATTTTAACATGTGAGCGCAGTCAAGCCATTGGCTTTAATTTGGCATGCAACTCTTATGAACAAATTGTTTCTACTTTGTCTTCCATTATCTGTTGCGAACAATTGGACTGAACAAAAGCCATTTTCAGCACTACAAATATAGCCAGTCATCCTATGCTTGCCAGATTTAAATGTGCTCAAACAGCCAAGTAATGTGCCGTCAGACTGCCGTAAATAATCTGTCCAGCTATCCGGCATGGCAGCAGGTTGTGTAAAGCTGGTTTTAGCAGTGTCCTCACAGACAACTGAACGAACACTGGCCAAGAGAGCTGTGGAGAAGAGCTGCACCATGGGATGTTAGGAATGTCGCTGTGATCTCCTGCTTGACATTGTACGTGTGTGTGTGTGTGTGTTTGTGTGTGGTCACGACAGGGAGCGTGCCCATGTTAGGTGTGTGACTGGCAGGTGGGGGGCGAGAAAGAGTCAAGGTCTGCTTATGTGTGCTGGCAATAACACAACTGATCGGGAACCTGGCGGGGAAGTGTCAGCTTCCTACAGCTGCTTCTTACTGTCAATCACATTAGCCATATGGTTCCATCACACCTCGACAGGCCTGTAAATACATGCTGCTTTATATATGACAACACAGAGATGATGATACACTGCCCTCAATCTCTGAGGCCACATTTTGATCTCTCTGGTTAAATGTATATGCACATAATGTGTGAATTTCCAAAAGGTTTGTGTGTGTGTGTGTCAGGCCTGTTCTTTTACTAAAAATGTTTAACAAAAACAAATACA